CTAAGGGGCGAGGGAGATCACCTCGTACAGGCAACCATATTTGGAGACTAGACGTCAGGCGTGCGCAAATGCACAAGATAGTACTACGTACGATACGGTTCACAAGCATATGTACGTACAACGACGCACATGAACATAACGAATTGACTTACGTTGGCTACACCAATGATTAATGAAATGACGTGTTCGCCAACGTGGACCTCAACCAATAGGTTACGCACTCGCGACATTCAATCCGCCACTGTTGCCCCCTGGTAAATTAACGCATGGAAAAATGCCGAGGTCTGTCTGGTGGGGTTTTCTGGGATTCTCCCCCTCCTTACTCGCAAACTCTTGCGTGCACCACCCGTCCTTTCTGAGGCTGCTTCCCTCGTGCCCGCTCGAGGATAGTACACTTCCAGTACTCTTTCAGCATCACAACTAACGCCTTCCCTTCCATTCGTGCCAACTCAAGGATGGTGTACTTCCCGCATGGCAGCTAATGCCTGGACCCCTCTTCCACGCGTGCCCGCTCGAGGATGGTGCATTTCCTGCATCGCAGCTGACGCCTGAACACCTCTTTCACGCGCGCCCGCTCGAGGATCGTACACTTCCCGCATGGCTGCTAACTCGTAGACCCGTCATGACACGCGCAACCTCTCGAGGATCGTGCACTTCCCGCATTCCCAGGCGTTGCTCCCAAGCGCTCCAAGGCCTCGCAAGGCACGATCCCGTGTCAAAAACGAGAACTATGCGCCCCGAGCTTCCAACACGACCCGCGCAGGCAACCAATGAAACCAAGATGGCCCAAGATGCCTCGAAGACGGCCCAAGGTGGCCCCGGGGCAGCCGAATATTGGCTCAAGGCGGCCCAGGATGCCTCCAAGCGGGCCCCAAATGGCCACCAGAGGACTTCCGAAAGGTCCGAAGAAACCGAAATCATTGACCCCCTTTGGTTCTTACATGATTGTCACATTCCCGGCTGCAGTCAGCTCAAGACGGCCCAATAATACTCCACGATGGCCCGAGAAGCATCCAAAACAGCCCCAAGACGGCCTCCCGTGGGACCCAAGATGGCCTTGAACGGCCAATCGCCGGCCCAAGACGGCTCCAAAACGGCCCCCAGACACCCACCATGCGGCCAAGAAGGCCCCAAGACAACCCAAGAGAGCCCCAAGCCGTTGTAAGAGGGTCCCAAGACAGCCGCGAGGGACCCCCAAGACGGCCTCGCAGGAGGCCAAGACCGCCGCAAGACGGCCCAATCGAGTTTGATAATCATCATCATCATCATCATCATCATCATCATCATCATCACCATCATCATCATCATCATCATCATCATCGTCATCATCATCATCATCATCAGCAGCAGCATCATCAGCAGCATCAGCATCATCATGATCATCCTCCAAATCCCCTTCATCATCGCCATCATCATCACCACCACCATCATCATCAGCATCATCAGCATCAACATCAGCACCAACATCATCGTCATCATCACCATCATCGTCATCGTCGGAATTATCATTATCATCATATTCATCATCATCCTCGTCCTCATCCTCATAAACATCATCATCAGCATCAGCAGCATCAGCATCAGCATAAGCAGCATCATCCTCATCCATAGCAGCATCAGCCACGACATCAGCTTCGACTTCATCATCATTAATCAGTATCATCATCATCAACAACAGCAGCATCAGCAACAACGTCGTCAACATCGGCATAACCATCAGCATCATCCACATCATCACCATCATCATCATCATCATCATAATCAACATCATCGGCACCATCAACATCACCAACATGATCATCTTCATCAACAAAACCATGATCATCATCGTCATCATCGTCATCCTCATCATCATCATCATCATCATCATCATCATCATCATCTCCGTCACTACCACCATCACCATCGTCATCACCATCGTCTTCATCATCACCATCGTCTTCATCATCACCATCACGATCACCATCATCATCAGTATCATCATCCGCATCGTTACCAGCATTACCATCGTTGCGATCACCATCATCATCATCAGCAGCATCATCACCATCATCGTCGTCGCCAACATCATCAGTACGATCATCATCAGCCTCAGCATCCTCATCATCACAGCCACTATCACTAGCACCACCATCATCATCACAATCACCAACCTCAGCACATCGTCATCCAAAAAAACGTCATGGTCATCGTCATCGTCGCCTATGTAGTCGTTGGCATCAAGATCATCATGCTCGTCGTCTTCGTCATCACCATCATCACCATCATAGTCATCATGTGCATCGTCGTCATCATTATCATCTTCCCAACCATCAGAATCGTCATCATCATCACCACCACCATCACAATCACCATCATCATCATCGACATGATCAGCATCACCATCATCCTCATCATCATCATCATCATCGTCACCATCATCATCATCAGCACCTTCATCATCATCAACATGATCGTCGTCAGAATCATGATCGGCATCATCACATCATCTTCATCCTCATCGTCATCGTCATGACAATGATCGCCATCAGATCATCATCATGTAATGTTCATCATTACCCATACTAGCACCATCACCATCATCATCAGCATTATCATCCTCATCCTCATCATCATCGTCATCATCATCATCCTCCTCGTCGTCATCATCATTTACATTATCATCATCGTCATCGTCATCGTCGTCATCATCGTCGTCGTCACCCCCTATCGTCCTCATGGTCCTCATCATCTTCATCATGGCTTTCCCAAGCCTGGAGACACGAAATGTCATACGTGACGGCCTCCCGTGATCCCTCGAACAGTCGCCACCCAAAATGCTGGGCTGGCACGTGGCGGGACTGGCCGCAGGCAGCTGGACATATGTGGTACAAGGTGCGTGGTAAAGTCAGTGGAATGAGCAATGTGGGGCAATCCATGTGATCTGACTGATGTGGTACAGTGTATGTGATGTCGACCAGGTTGCATATAATATGTAGTATAAGATATGTGGTAAGAGCTGCCTGATGCAAGCTATGTGGTGTAAGACATGCGGTGTAAACTACGCGATGCAGTAAGCCGTGCGGCCACATACGTGGCGCAATCTTGGTGGTTGACGAGATGCGAAGCAGGCTGCGAGGTGCGTGGTGCAAAACTACGTGGTACACAACCCACGAGGCGCCCACGGGGCAACGTGAGGGCACAAAGTGCCAACGATGTGCCCGCGAAAACGCACGGGCGGACACCGGGCAAAAACCCGGGTGACCATCCCATGTGGCAGGAGGCGCACGCGTGGGGCGCCCGCAGGCGGGCACCGGGCGAGCACCCAGTGATCCCATCAAGCTAGTCACTGAAGAACTCAAGGAAGAACCATTACGGGTGCAAGCAATGCTTGGTATGAACTATTAACCAGGGAAGAAATGCACACATAAACTTCTTGAGGTCCGCGCGGATACCTCGGATCGGCGCCCCAAAAGTGCATATGTATGTCATGCTTTCCACTAGCTCAGAAGAGAAAGTCTCAGATACACGTGCCCTGCGAAGGTCAAGCAACAGAACAAGCCATGCGGTGCCAGCTACGTAACCATGTGGCGCATGCAACGCACGGGGCGGCCACGCGGCGACCACTGGCGACCACCATCTGGTCACCAGGCAAAACACCGGCATGCCCATCCAATTGCTTAATCAGGTAAGCAGGGAGGCCAAGTCATGGCTTCTCAATGCAACGGAACGGAGCAACCAACCAGCCCCAAAGCCAGACCTGCGAGACGCTTTGCACTTTCCACATACGCGGCCCCCGGAAGTCCCGACCCTGTCCCCCGGGCCGCGATATTTTCACGCACCGCCTGCCTCCTCCCTGGCCGCGCTCGAGCTCGTGCGCCGCCTGCTGCGGCGCCCCTCTCGAAAACCACCACGATCGCAGCCCGAAGCCCGCCGACACACCTCGGGAGGTCCCTGCGAGGCATTCTGGGAAGCCGAGAAACGTCCCACCGACCCTGGAGTTAAGTCGGGCGTGTCCCCCTACAGGGGGATTTTCGACGAAGAATAAAACATATAAAAAATACTCCAACATAGTCAAACAAAACCAAAAAATAGTCACCAGACTATTTTACTATTTTTGAATATTCCCCCTCTGGAGGGACAGGCCCGACTTAACCCTGGAGGCGTGTCAGGAAGTGCCGCCGACCCTGAAGGCGCCGCATCCCCCCCACCCCACTTCGCCCCAGCATCCCAAAAACATGACATGTGTTTGGGATGCCGGGGCCCCTGCGTGGCGGCAAACGCCCGCGCCCCCCCGCAGCTGAAAGAGTCACCTTGCGCTCATCCTCCAATCCACTCGTGAGGTGCAAGTCTTGAATCCACACTGACATTGGCAAGCGAAGTCGAGGCCCCGGCAAATCCGACAGGCGCGATCGGCCCCCTCGAATGGCGGGCGAACCAATACGTAAGACGATGTCGCAAAAGTAAAATTGGAATTTGGGGATCCGCGCAAGAAGCGAATCCACTCGCCCAAACTGTAGTTCTGTGCCTGTCCGACATGTGGGCCCCTGCTTCTGGGGACCTCCCCCCCTGCAACTCCTCGCCCAGAGTCGACCCTGGCCTCCCGTCGGGACTCTGCCCGGCCCCACACCCCCACGCCCTGAGATTTGCATCACTGCTGACTCCCACCTGAAAAACAATTCTTGAACGCCTGAGCACCAAAACGAACAACGCATGATACGAGCCATGTTTGAAGGCAATTTGCATGGACTCCGTAATGCAATCACACACGTCCGAAGGCGACCTTGAACCAAAATGGCTCAAGAGTTCTCCGGCTTTTCATCCCGAGTCTACTTCTGATGGTCCCGAGGCCCGGCGAGGGCCCCTGGAGGCTGACAATGGCCAAAAGGCTTCAGTCGCGATGTTGCTCACGACGCGATCCTGCCCAGGACGACTTCAGCGGGCAAGCTCCATCAAACATCCGCAGCGTGACGTGCGCATCACCTGTAGACGTCAGCGGAAGTGGAAGCGACCGCACCCGCCTTGGGGTCTCCGCCCTCGCGCGGGTCAGCTGCTCGGGCGACAGGTCCAGCTCGGCGGCCTCGCCGGAGGACGAGGAGTGAGATGGCAAGTCGGGCTTCGGGCTGCGCGCAGGCAGTCCCCCCAGGGAGCCCCAACTGGCCTCCACAAACCCCCGAGAAGCCCCACCTGACCGCAAAAGGGCCTCACGGGTAGTCTGGGGCGGTCAGCACAGCCTTGCGCCGCCTCTGGCGGCGCCCCTGGGGCGCTCCGCGCCCGAAGGCTAAGGTGTTGAGACAGCCCTGGGCAGTCGGGGGACCTGTTGAGGTCAGCTGGGACTATCTGGGGGGCTGCCTGTGCGCAACCCGAATCCTCACCAATGAGGACAGGACGATCCGCAGCGGAGAAACAGGATCTGGGCAGGACGAGGTCAAGGACGCCCTTGCCCCCCACCCCCTCCCTCCCTCCCTCCCTCCCTCCCTCCCTCCCTCCCGCTGCTCCTTCCCTCTCTCCATCTCCCCCCATCTCTCTCCGATGTCGTTCATGATCGTACGGGTGTTGCTCTTTCGTGCCCGTGCTCCTCTGGCTCGTCTTCATGTGGGTGGATGCGCGGCACCTCTTCTTGCTCACGTCGTGGCCGCCGTCGAGTTCAGAGGTGTGAGGCATGGCACTGTCACTGGCCCCCCAGGATCGAGGAGGATCAGGGATGGAGGAGGATCGAGGAGTATCGAAGATCGAGCAGGATCGAAGATCGACCAATCCCTTTCGCTCGCTTCGCCGTGATCCCCTCCGTGCTTCCCCAAGGGAGTCCAACTTCGCGCTTCGCGCTGCGCGAAGCGCGAAGTGCGAACAACTTCGCGCTCTCGCGCCGCCTCCCAGGGGAGAAGAGGAGGATAAGGAATCGGAGCCGAACCGCGAAGCGCGAATCCGCCGGCCCCCTTGTGGGGCCACCAGGCTGCGAGGCGCGTGATTCGCAGTTTCCTGTACCAGTTGTAGTTTGTAGTTTCCAGTGTTACAGTTCTGCTTCTTGCTGGTTACTGAAACTAATTGACTTCTTGCTGGTTACTGTAACTAATTGATTGCCCGCGCGAGGGGGGGGGAGGCCCAAACGGGATTTTTAGCACCTCCTGGGCGCGTTGTCTGAATTGCTGGGGGGGCTCGAAATCGACACCCCTCACGCAGATCCGCGGGGTCAAGGTCCAAAAACACATGGGATTTGCAACATTTCTGAAATTCGGTGCCACCCCTCACGCAGATCCGCGGGGTCAGGGTCCAAAAACACAGGGGATGTGCCACATTTCTCAAAATTCGGTGCCACCCCTCACGCAGATCCGCGGGGTCAGGGTCCAAAAACACATGGGATTTGCCACATTTCTGAAATTCGGTGCCACCCCTCACGCAGATCCGCGGGGTCAGGGTCCAAAAACACAGGGATTTGCCACATTTCTGAAATTCGGTGCCACCCCTCACGCAGATCCGCGGGGTCAGGGTCCAAAAACACAGGGGATTTGCCACATTTCTGAAATTCGGTGCCACCCCTCACGCAGATCCGCGGGGTCAGGGTCCAAAAACACAGGGGATTTGCCACATTTCTGAAATTCGGTGCCACCCCTCACGCACATCCATCGCAAGGCGTGGTAACCCAAACTGCGAGTACTCCCTCGGCCCTTTAATCCCAAGGTGTGGTAACCAAGCTCGTAAACCATACACGTCTTACCAATCGCCCTGTGTGGTAACCCCTCTTGTGATCAGTTGGTTTTGCCGATTGCGAATCGGCCTCGCATGAAGTTCCGATACTGCTGCACGACAGCGCCAAAGCCTCATGACTTAGCTCTTCCATGGCCCATTCTCCGAGAGAGGGGGCCGGCGGCAGGGGGCGAAGCCCTTACGGATAACTTCGCGCCCTCGAGGGCGCCCTTGTTCCCCTGCCTCCTCTCTCGGCCGCACTCGAGTGGCTCTGGGCAAGAGTTGACCCCAGGCGCGCGGCAGAGGGGGGGGGGGCCACGCGCACAGGCCAGTGCTGGAGGGGACCTCCCCTCCCCAGAGATCTTGATGGGCCTGTTTTTCACCACCACCGCCACCATAAGTTGGAGGGGGAGGGGCTCCTCCTCCTCCTCCTCCTCCTCCTCCTCCTCCTCCTCCTCCTCCTCCTCCTCCTCCTCCTCCTCCTCCTTCCCCCCATCCAAATTGTGGTGGTGGTGGTGGTGGTGGAAAACAGGACCATCAGATCTGATGTCTTGCCTCGTTACAGACAGGGTCCACGAAAGCCCCGACCCACTCCCCAGTCCCCAGGGCCGGCTTCCCGCATCACTGCACCGCTCTGGGACCTCGGAGGCCTCGGTCGCCCGAGACCTCCAAGGAGAACGATCGGACTCCCGAGACCGTGCGGCCGCTCCAAATCCGCACTTACGCACCGCACCGTGTGGTCACCGCACCCTTGGAGGGGTCCCCGATCCTTGTCACGGGCCGTCTCCTGGCGGCCCCGGGGAACGGCGGAGGACCTCCGCCCCGACCTGCATCGAGCCCGCACCGAAAGCCAAACTCCAGTGAAGGGCCAACCTCTCAGCGCCCGGCCAACCCCTCCCCTCCCCGCAGCCGCGGCCCACCGTGGCGCCCGTCGCCGCCATGGCGCCCGACCGCCGAGGGCCCGCCGCGAGGAGGTCGGAGCAAAGCAGAATTCGAGGCAGCGTCAGCTCTAAGCCGGCCCCCAGAACCCTCCTGGGACCCACACCCAGCCTTACCGAAGTCATAACATTGGTCGTAAGCTCGACAACTCCTCTTGTAACATTGTTAGGTTGCGTCGCACTGTGGTGAAACGCTTAGCCAATATGTACTAACCTGTTGGGAAATATGTGCGTTATGCATTAGTTACCAGACTTAATAAATTAGGTATGCGCACCCGCGGCCCAAACCCGCAACCATCTTACAACAACTTGCGCGCTTACACAGCATCCACCCACGACCTCAAAACAACGCAAGCATCTACACATACTCATACAGACTTACGCCTGGCATACCAAATGTGCAAACAGGACAATGCCAGACCAAATCCCTACATGCTCGACCATGGCAGCGTTTATCCAAATATAAGATAAGATAAGATGCGCACCAGAGGAAAAATCGGGCTCCGTCCTGGGATACCTCGGCGACGCCATCTCGGGATAACGCTGGAGACCGTATGGGATATCTCAACCAAGCCTTTTTCGGGACATCTCGGGATACCTATCGGGATACCAATAGGGATCCCTCTGGGAAAACCTCTTGGAATACCTCGGGAGCCCAATTGGGACGCCTCACCGGATACATCATACATGTGTTTGGGACATATCTTGGGATACTTCGTGGGATACCTCGGGGTCCCTCTTGGAATACCGTTCCAGGGATACCCTGACGGATACCACGAATAACGCGTCTAAGGCTACCTGGGGGTACCTCGTCGGATACCTCGAGGCCTGCACCTAGAATACCTCTGGATACCAATTGGATACCGCTCGGCAACGCACCTCGGACTTTGATGTTTGGGACGGTGGCCCCATGGTGCTAAAGAGGCCACGAAATTCGCAGGTAACGCGAATTCCAAGAGCTTACATCTGAAGAGGAGCAATTGGGGTCCTCGTAGATGGGGTCGAAAGATCGCGCCACATCGCCAATGCATCGCCGATTAATCGGCGACGCATCGGCGATGCATCGGCGACGTCGGCGACGCATCCGCGACGTCGACGTGGGGAAAGTCAGGCTCCACATCGAGCTGCATCATCGATGCATCGGCGATGCGGCGCGAATCTCCGACCCCATCTACTCAAATGCATCTAGGAGGCCTAGACAACGACAATTAATAACAACATATCTCGAACTGTTGAACGGAAACTTATCGTGGGTCTGCATCCCTAGAACGCACCAAGGTACTTACGCATCATTTAAAGCATGCCTCTCACACTGACGTCTAAATGGTCTTATCATACTTATCATAACATACCATATCAACATGCCGGCATCACAACTTATCATATCTATACGACCACCCTGCGGGTGATAAGGAGGTTGGGGAGGGAGGGAGCCAGCAATGGGCAACAGTGGTCCCACTCGATCGATCTCACTATCGATCTCACTGTCGATATCACGAACGATCTCACTATAGATCTCACTATCGATCTCTCACTATAGATCTCACAATCGATCTCACTATCGGTCTCATTATCGATCTCACGATCGATCTCACTACCAATATCACTGTCGATCTCACCTCGGGACACCACAGGACAACGACGGGACACCGGCGTGACACCAGCGGGACACAAGCGGGACACCGGCGGGACACCGCGCGCCACCGGTTGCTGGGCGGAGAACTTTTTGGTCCGGCCGCGGCCCAGCCACGGCGGGACACCAGCGGGACACCAGCGGGACACCAGCGGGACACCAGCGGGATACCGGCGGGACACCGCGCGCCACCGGTTGCAGGGCGGAGAACCGTTTGGTCCAGCCGCGGCCCAGCCACAGGAGAATTTCCTCTCCCCCGCCCACGTAGCTTCGCCTCGCCCGCACGCACGGCACGAACACGAAACCGAAATCGATTTCCCGGTAGGGGGGCTCTCCGTTCCACTTCGATCTCACCTCCCAACCTCCGATGCTTGCTCAGTGAAATGGATCATGAAGTTCGAATCTTGGGAACAAAAGACACGACGAGACATCTTCTGTTACAGCCTCCCGGGGGGGCCCCAACGGACCCCGAACCCAAGATCATCAGAAAATATCTCGGGATGAAAAACTGGTCCTAGGGAAGGGGTAAGACCTCTGGGGTCCACGCAATGAGAAATCACTAGGTCGGGCGTCTGGGAACGCACCCGTTCTCCGAACTGCGTCCGGCCGCGGCGACGAGGGGCCCTCAAAAATAAACTACCCCAAACCTCCCGTGTCCTGTCTTTGTTCGATACGGGCCCCGCGGAATCCTGGACCACGCCCCGGGGACCGCTCTTTCGCTCGTCCTGGATCGTCTTTGACGGTCCCGGGGGCCTTGGAGGGCCTCCAGGTGCCGAAGAATACGAAAGCCTACATCATGGTTTTTGCCAATACGTTGATGGTCTAGGTACCGCTGTCTCGGGAAGCATAAACGTAAGCTTTCGGAGGTCTGCGCGGATTTCTCGGATCGGCGCTGCAGCCTCCTGGCGGCGCTTCCAGCGCCGTCCCTGGCGCGCCCCGCACGCCAGGGAGGGGGGTCCAGCGCCGATCCGAGAAATCCGCGCAGACTTTCGAAATATGATCTGTTCCTCGACCCGGAGGACCACGACCACCGAGAACCCATCAGCCCTCGGGCGGTGGCACGCCCGAGCCTCACCCCAGTGCAAGCCGCCGCCCGGGGCGTGCCACCGCCCGAGGGCCAGCCCCCCACCGAGGGGCTGCCGGTGGCGGTGGCCCGTGCCCTCCCTCCGGACCGACTGCCTCGACTCGCCCTCCTCTGCGCAGGGGCCCGCCGCGCGGCCGCCGCAGCCGCCGCGGCGCGGCGGCGGGGCGCACGCCTCGGCGCGCGGCGGCCGCCGCCGCCGCGCGCGCCGAAAGCATGCCGCGCGCGCGCGGCGGCGACACCAGCACGGGCCCGCTCGGCCTCGCGAGGGGGGGGGGCAAGCGAGCAGGACCAGCGCTTGGCGTGCAGGGCCATATCGTCGACGGTGTCTGACAACTGCGGTCACCACCCAGGCTGGTGCGTGGGTGCGCGCGCGCCCCGCAGACTTGCAGAAGGGGAGCGGGTGGAAAGAATAAAAAAGAGGGAGGCGCGAGCAGAAGAGTAGGACGGGAGAGAGGAGGGAAACGGACGACGGCAGAGGGAGCAGAGGGGGGGGATTGAGAAACGCAGAAGGCAAACGGGGGCAGGGGGTAACTTAGAAGGACGAAGGCAAGAGGGATCAGGGGGACAGGGCGGAGGAGGGAGAGAGGCGGCAGGCAGGCAAGCGGGCAGCCTCCAGTGCGCCCGAAGAGGACAGGCCGCGCGCGGGGCCGGGAGCGGGCGCCGGGGCGCCAGTCACTCAGCCTCTGAGCCCCAACCTCGCCGGGCACTTCTTCGACGCCACGCATATCAAGGCGCCTTGGGAGCACGCGTCGGTGCCCTCCGGCACGCGAGGTCGGCGCGCGCAGCTGAGCGCTGCTGCCGCCACGCGGCGTCATCGTAAGGAGCCACCAGCACCGGTGGTCTGGCTCTGCCACCTTCGGCGCAAGGGCGTGGAGCCGAAGTGCGAGGCGGATGCTCCAGAGATGTGCAAATGTCCAATCCGTTCCCACTCTGATGCATTTGCTGCACCTGTCGTCCAAAGACGATCGTCACAACTGTTTTCTTCCGCGCAGGCTTCGTAAGATCATCCGTCCACCTCCGCTTCGGCCTGCCCGTTGATCTTCGTGCTTGCTGCGATTGCACACTCAGGTCCCACTGCAACGCTGCATTGCTTCACTTGTGCCGGTCTGGCTTGGAAAGTTCTCGCGCCAAATTCCATGTGCATCGTAGCTGCAAAACCACCCAATCCTCACACCCATGACCTTCCACATGTTGCGTAACGTACTGTGTTGCTCGCTGTACCCTTTCGGACCAGGGCTCCAGTTCGTCGGAAGTGTTACTCGAACTCGGTGAGGTAGTTGCGTCCGTGTCGCTGCTGTTCGAGCTGGGGTCAGACCCTTCAATATGTTTGGTCTGCACGAATGCTGGATTCATGACAATTGACATGTGCGGACTCGAATACGTGGCTCCCTAGGTGTCCATCTGCGCACGGCGCCTGGGTACTCGAACAACCAAGCTTTACTTTACCTTTGGCTGCTGCGTAGCTGTTGTACAAAACTTGATATTACAGTCCAACACGCAGATCCACAGAAACATCGGAGTCACCGTTCCGTTGAGCAACCGCAGCCGGTCGTAGAGAGAACATGATTTGAGCATCCCAATTTTTTCCAGACAGCCTTGGTGCACGCCTCTATTTCGACCTCCGTTGAATCATAAAACGTGAGCAGACGCCCCGCAGACTTCTGAATTCCAGAAACGGCAGAATCTCGATGGATAAGCCGTTCACGTCAATGCATTATGGTGCAACTCGTGATGCACGAGTTTCCGCATGATGCCTGATCTTCGTATTGTCGGGGTGGAGTTGCAGCCCCGTAGCCCCGGCTGTATCCACGACGCTGGACAGCATGCGCGGGACCTGGGTGCGCGATCTCCCAAACAGTAGGACATCGTCTGCAAACTGCAAGTTTGTCGACATCAAGTTGTTACCCAACTGCGCCAGCAAGCCGTACTTCCTGGATACCCTCGTCGGCTTTCTGTATGACCAAATGCTCCGAGAGGCAATTGCAAAGCAATTAAGGGAGAAGGGTGGAGGGATCACCAAAGGATGATGATAAAAGAAAGGGAGAGGAAATGCGGGAAAAGGGGTGATGGCAAAGGTAAAGGCGGATGAGACAGGAGACGAGGGGGCCAGGAAGAGAGACGAGTGCGGAAAGGGACGAGGGGGCAGGAGGCAGGATGGAGGATTGGAGAGGAAGGAAGCAAGGACAGGGGTTCGGCGGCGAGCGAGGGGGTGAGGTGAGAAGGGGAAGGCCATCTCAGAAGGCGACGGGGCTTCTCAGAAGGCCGATCGGTTTTCTGTGTCTTCGG